ACCTCTGAACACGTGGGGATTTAGGAGAGGGAGAGTCAGCAGCGGGGAACAGGGAGTACAAGCGTATATAATCATCAGACGGTGGTAGCCACATGGGAGGGCGGACAATATCATCTGTTCGGTGTTCAGGGATGTCTTCATTTTCTACCGTCGTTACCGCTGCCGGTTCTGAAAGTAGACAAAATAGACTGTGATTTACGATGGCGCGCATTTTGATACCTGTCGGCACATTACACGTGTTAACGCCGCTGGCTGTTCGCACAATGAGATTGAGTTCTCGATATCTGCGGCATTTTCACACTTGCCGCTTCATAGTGCAGAATTTCTATGTATAGTGTATATGCTCCTGTATTATTGAAAATCCTTTACTATGGCGATTTGTTTAAGTGAACCAAATCTCCAGGTGAATAAACACCGGGGACTTCGAATACGTTATGTGATGATAAAAAATCGCGAATTGCCGAAAAGGTTGATTCACATACAATGAACGTAACTTTCAAGTATTTTCCCACCGGAACAGATTTCCTCAACATTCTAGAATCTAAATGGCCTTTAGGGATGCAACATATGCGTAGGCGCATTCTTGCAAACAAATTTTGGTCGATGATTGTTTGTTGCCAGTAATAATTCCGTAGTTCACGCTAATTATTTGCTAAACATCGTGCACGTTGACTGGCAGATTACAGAGTTTTTTGTTATAGGTCCCGAGTTATGCTAGAAAGACCTCGCGGTTCATCGATCTTAACTGAAGCACTCTACTAACATTTGGCGTTCCATATCTCAGCAGGGCCTGGCACGTGCCCAACTCGTCTTCGGTTAGGCGTCGATTGACTGGAAGGCGATCTTACAGAAACTTTGACAGTTTGTGTTTGTGTTCCAGAAAACAAGAGGTCACTGCCAGTTGGTTCCTTTGCCTAAGTAGACAAAACCGCACTGGACAGCTGGTGCTTCGCGTGCTTTCTTTATTAGAAAATACGCTCGGCTTACTAGCCTCTTCGGATTCCACGGCTTTCCGTTGGTCTTGGAGGGTGCCTGCTGCAATTGTAGTACACCCATTCGTAACGCAATATAGTGTCGGTGCATCGATTACTGGATGAACGCACAAATATCACGAAGTTACCCTTCATGCATTCATTTAAGGTCTTCTCAAACGCCGTGAAGGATGAAACCGAGACACCCACAAATTTCCCAACGAAAGCCACCTCCGAAGCCATAGCAGACGAAGTTCAAAGCCGAATGTGCGCCAATAATTTTCAAAAGAGATCGATTAAAACAAATCGCAAAAAAATGACGGCAGATGAGGGTGGTTTTCAGTCCACGCATAAATGTAAAGAAGTGCAACATTTTGATGTTAAAGTTTTTATTCCGCACGCAAGGGTTTTACAGATCAATGCATTGTGCTTCTAGCCGTTGGCCGTGTAAACCGGTAGGAAAGTGCGAATTGGGGATGGTATGTGACCTTGAAAATTCGGCAACTTAAACAAAATGCTACGAGCAAATGTCACCGGCAGGTGCAAATGGATTAGACCAACTTGCCGTTGAGGCCACAAGTCCGAAAACCCTATCGATTTGGCGAAAACAATTTTGGTGTCTAGTCGGCGGCCTCTTTTTTCTACCCCGCGTATCTCGCCTCGAGCCACCTGCTTTTCTTGTGTCGTCCAACGTCTTAGTGATGTGGTAACAGAAATAGATGATTTAATGGAAGAAATCTCCAGAGAAAATTCCCATGACTCTCTTTGAGTCGCTGTCACTAGTGGGACAGGAAAATCTGAAAATAAAGTGCTGGAGGATTTGTTCACAATAATCGAGCTTGATAACAGGTCGCCGTCGCAAATGTTTCGCCATATGCACAGTCTCCCCGAATGCCGCATGCTGGCGGTAAAAATCATGACAAAACTATGGCTCAATAAAGTTCCAGCCTCGGTGTTCTGCGTCATCAGTGCTTTCGTTGATGGCCACAGCCTGGAGCAGCTAGCTCAAATGGCGGACGAAATTCACGTAACCTACCACAGTCATCCCGTTTATCTCCACCTACCCACCCGTAAACCGTCATTTTCACTGCTTCCGATTGTACACTTCCTGCCATCTCGAAACTTCAAACAAAGTTTGTTACTTTGACCGATCGTCTACAACTGCTCGAAATCAACAAGCATAGACTACTTTCACAATCTTGATCGCTGTCACGTTCCCGTCATTCTTGGTGCTGGTATCACCACCATTTTGTTCCAAGCACACCCAAATGTCAACCGCTTTGATCCTTCAAGCCGCGTTCAAACAGCCATTTCAACCGCCCAGCCCGTCAGTAACGGCAATGAGCATCTGTGACCCCCCTCACACTAGTCGCCTATTCCACATCACCGATCGTTCAAGTGGTCTGCGTTTTCTCGCAGATAAGCGAGCTGAAGTCAGTGTGCTACCACATAAGAATTTGCTTTCGTACTCCGCTAACGGCACACACATGGCTATATATGTGAACGTTCACTCACCCATGACCTCCGCTTGCGACGTATGTTCAAGTAGATTTTCTTTTTGGCCGACGACCTAACACCCATCCTTGGCGCAGATTTTCTAACACACTACAACTTATCCGTCAATGTGCAGCACAAACTTCTCTTTGACGTGCTAACTTCCCTTTCGGCCAACGGAATTAGAGCGCAAAATTCATCCACGGTTATCCTTATTATCTTACCAGACTTATGTTTCGCTAACATTCTTAGGGATTTTCCTACGCTCACTCATCCATGTAAGTACAGTCAACCGGTCACCACACCCAGACGAGAGGTCCACCTTTCCATAGCTAATCCTCGTCGCCTCCATTCAGATAAGCTTTAGATCACAAAGCACAAGTTTGTGAACACATGCTAAAACTCGGCATCATCTGCGTTTCATCGTGTCACTGGTGGTCCCCCCTGAATATGGTATCCAAGAGATCCAAAGTTTGTTGTAGGACTTGCGAATTAACCGATCCCTCAGTCCCATACAAGTACCTTATCCCACATATCCACGAATTTGGAATTACCTTATGCCGCACAAATACTCTCTCCAAATTCGATCTAGTACGCGCATATTACCATATCACTGTAGCCCCGGATGACATTCCCAAAACAGCTGCTACGACATCGTTCGGTCTTTTCGAACTTACGCGTATGACTTTTAGTCTTGGAAAGACAGCTCAAAACTTTCAACGAAGTTTTGCGTGGTTTGCCCTTTTTCTGCGCTTATCTAGACGAGTTTTTAATTGCTAGCGCTTTCCCACATGACTATACAGCTCAGCTCATGGCAGTATTTCAACTTTTTTCTACCTACAACACACGTTTGAACATAGACACATGCTTGTTTGGCGTTACCAGCCCAGAATTCCTTGATCACCACACTGATCCAACCAGTATCGCACCACTACCCGATTTCATTTTAGCCTTAGAATCTTTTCCCATACCCACAACTGTCACCCAAATTCGTCATTTTTTAATACCATCAATTACTATCAGTGGTTCATTCCTCATTGTGCGAGTGTTTTACGTTCATCGACCAGGTTACTCAGCCCCGAAGAAAAACCTGTTGCCTTGCCCCCCACCGCAATTATTGCTCTTGAAAATGCCATTGCTCACGCCGCAAAATCATTCTTTCTTGATACCCACGAATACATGAAGGTTATTTTGACAACTGATGCGTTGGAACAACGCTGATGTCGGCACTGTGCTTCATCAGGTTGGTAATAACGACTTTCAACCGTTAGCCGTCATCTCACAGAAGATACAGGGTGCTTAAACGCAATACAGTACATTTGGTCGTTAATTACCTGCGATTTACCTAGCTCTCCGCCATTTACGGCACTAAGAAGAAAGTAGATCATCAACCATTGGAACCGATCATGTGCCTCTTACGTATGCTTCCAGCGCCAAGCCTGATTGCTATTCATTACGCGAGCTACGTCATCTAGACTATATCTCCCAATTTACTGCCGAAATTCGGTATATTACAGTATCAGACAATGTCGTTGCAGACGCCCTCTCTAGCCCAGATGTAAACTCTCTTTCACGGAGTTGAACCTTAATAAGCCAGCGAACCTTCAGCATTGTGATCCGACGTTTATGTCCATTCTGTTCTCTCATTCATTTCAACTGTAAAGCAGCATTTTAAATAGGCAGATCACTACAGGTTTGACTGAAAAATACCAGTGTAATAAGGATGTGGCGCCAATGTTCGAGGTCTCATTTGTGAATAGTAGGCTTGCATGACAAACATCCAAAAGTTATCGGAATCGGGTCCCAGTGGGGTATTTTACATTTCCGGTGTTTCGAAGATTTTTGTCCAGTGCGCGTAATCCCGCTACATTCTGAGTGTTGTTGGAGCTCTGTTCTTAGGTGTTTCTCGGTCAGCACTGACCTCACTTAGTCATATTAGTATACATTTTGCGTACGCTCCTGCTCTTGCAGGCCGAAACAGACAAGCATCAAATTTCACCTACTTGCCGTACCCATTTCGGTGTGAAACGTCACAGACTGGCTATTGTTTTTGTTCATTATTGTTATTATTGTCATTGCTATTATTATTTTTATCATTATTGTTTGGGTATTCCATGGACAACTAAAGAGATGCCATTGACGCGTCATGAAATTCCCGTTTGGTTAACTTAAGTCCATTAAAGAGAACACACGCACCATCGGGGTTGATGATACCTCCGACCGCATTTAGCAACAGAATTCCACTAAACGGTGCATATGTTCATCGAATCTGATGCTAGTCCACCGCAGACACAGTTCAGTTGCTGAATCAAATGTGTCCGTCACCACGCCGGCCCCATGCAGTTACCTGCTACATGCGTTTATCAACTCACTGTGTACCACTCGTTGGCGATTGCACAAAGAATCACAGGCCCCAACCACCCACCGATGGCTAGGTGATCTTATCAGACAAACTCGTTAAGTGCGACAAACTCACGAAGGTCTCAGTGCGTATGGCAGTTAGATTATCCCATAGTAATGTAATATACTTAGCAAGCACACAGACTTAGGTCGGCCTCATCATTACAAAGTAAGGGAAGAATAAGAGTGAATATTCAATGGCCTTGTGTTTTTGTGTTCCAATAGTGGCGAGTGTTTTAGGCCGATATTTTCTTTCAATGTGGCGAATTAAAGCTAAACAACTGTTCCATCCACACGACAGAAACGATCAGACTAGGCTAAATTTTGCGTCTCCAGTGTACATATCGAACTCTGTTAATCCACAGGGGTTAAAAATGAAAGCAATCTTAACCCAAGTTAGTGGATTTCACGAGGTCAGAAAGGTTTCAGGGCTGTGTTTCATTAAAGTGTAATGCAGCTTCCCTTGTAGTGAACAAAGACGTGACCATCAAACTTACGTCCAGGGTGTCTTGCAGTTCTTTACGCAAAGCTCAATAAGACGTATGATGTGAAATTTACTGAACAACTCATTAGAACGTCACATTTTGTCTAGTTCCGTAACAACACGAAGGGAATTGATGGAAAAACATCGGATAGAATGCTTCCGATCTGAGGACAAAGAACATTGATTACAAAGAGTAGTTATCGGATGACAACCGTCAACTAGTATATATCACCCGTTATACAACTGTATGTCATATAACTAACCAACTCCTTTCAAATGGGTTTAGTTAACGTTTGATGGAATTACCCTGTTCCATAATTCAATGTAAACCTTCATGAAAATCTTGGATATTTTCACCGGACTGATACAGAAATTAGAACCTACAAGTACTGAATACAGGAAAGATTTTAGCCATCTAAAATAGTGTGTGCGCTGGTATACTCATCTGAATTCAGCCCTTAGCATAATTTCTGAAGGACTGCTTACGACACCATCATAGGTCACTCCGTCTTGGATTGGGTGCAAGGCGCATACTATATGCTATATTACGTGTGGATCTGTCGGCGTTACATCAATGCTTCTGTTACATACTTTTTCAATCAGGAGGTTGTTTGTTCCACAAAGTGGCGATTACGTCACACGGGTGGTTCAAATAGTCACTTGTGCAGCTTCGGTGTTACACCGTACACACCGTAGGCAAAATCAGTTACATGTGAACAAGTCGATTCGCTTGTAAACACGATGCGGACCACAAATATAGAGCTACGATAACATTTCGCGAAGCACCAAATTCACTTCTGAAGCAGTACTGTGTCAAACCAAACAGTATTTACACTAGAGATGTAATCTTCGTGTATTGACTGGATATCTTCTACTTGGAGTCGTTCGGTTCCAACTCCAAGCACGGAATTTGTGCAGCAAACCACATTTGTATGTCTGATGCGGCTGTGCCAACATCACAATCATTCACGTAATTAGAGGCGATAAATGATCAATATGCCGTGGATCCTTAACATCACACTAACAAAACGAAGAGTTGACACTTGAAAGATGCGATCCACTGTTTCTAAGCAGTGGCAGGATCACCGCAACTGCTGATTTGCGGTTAAATCTCTCTTCTTGTTGCTGCGTATTTTGTGGCAGACAGTGTCACTCGAACCTACTCACAAATTAAACGCAGACAGCCACAGTAAACTCCGCGTCATCATTTCAGGCGACATAATTCTAATGACTGTTCCTTAGTTTTGTGAAAATCAGCAACCGACCAACCGTAGCAAGTGTGTTTCAATCGCAATAACTAACCAGTCTTCATAGTAAACGTCCATATCTGAATTATTTTGGGGAAATCTAGGTATCCTCTACTCGATCCTTATATTCTATGCATCACACCGTCAAGTCCAGTGTCAGATTTTACTAAGTTCCAAGTAGTAACCAAAGATTCGACGCCGGTCACATACGATGAAAAAGAGCTTGGAGAACTGCCGTGTATGTCTTGAAATGTAGGACTAGACCAAATCGTATGGTTCAAAATAAATGGGCAACAAAACATAGACTGTGTTCTAAAGTAATTGCAACAACTAATCAATATTAACTTTTGGAAAGTTTCGCTACTTGACTCAGGATGATTGGTAGGTATCCAAGGGATGTACAGGTATAACTTTCAGCGAGTTCTCACGAACATTTTAATCGAAAAGATATCATTATTATCCTCATAGCTTCCTATGGTTTAGTGACGATCACTGATCAATAGTTTGATTAGAAGAACAGATATATGTTCGTACGTTACTCAGTGAGTTGAATAAGCGGTCGGACATGCAGGAAATTGCAGATAGAGGTAGGTGTTGTGAGCATATCTCATACAAATTTGCTGTTCCATCCATCAGACTGAGAATACTCGGATTCCTTTGAGTACAACATAAAATGCGAGACCCATTGCTAGCAGCAAAACAAATTGAATGCGACGCTGACCCACGTAAGACTTCACACTAGAATGAAACTCTTCCCTTTTGTTTCTATGTGGGAATGGAATGGTAGGCACGGGGACCTGTAAGAATTGACAAAGTGGTTCCCAGCCATCGGTTACGCGAAACACCAAGAGTCGATCAGCCGGAACGTATCGCTGAACTCGTTGGTTCCGAATTGACAAGTGGTTCCCAGCCATCGGTTACGCGAAACACCAAGAGTCGATCAGCCGGAACGTATCGCTGAACTCGTTGGTTCCATTTCTCGTATGCAGCTGCACATTCGTTGTCGTTGTTTATGTCCACCGTGTAACCCAGCGAACGCTTCATTCCGCAGTCAAACATTCGTGCTATGACAGCACCGAATTGAACGGAAGCATCTAGCCAATTCACCCAGGAGAATGTCCGCTGTTTCAGGAATGTATGACGCACGGAATCTAACCACTTTGTTGTTTCTCTGACCGTGAGAATAATCTGTCTGTAAAATGGGGAATAATGGGCAGAATAATAACCACATTCAGTGTTTTATTCTGCGCAGTGGGATTCCTGTAGGCTCAGCATTGTGGTAAAGATAAAATGAAATCCTCAGAAACCAGAACAATTTCGCAAAACTATGTTTTGTAAGGCACTGAACGGAAAGGCAGAGGGGACGCAAAAGCCGTAATCCTAAAAGTCCTGACCGATAGTTCAATTGAGAAGCGTTTGAAAACACTCGGAAAATTAAGATCTAGCTTTTGGGACTTGGGTTTTTGGGGTTTTGTCGACATCCATAGTTAAATATCGAGAAGAACTTGGATTTCAGAGTTGTTTTGATATACACTTGAAATCGCGCTGCCGCTTATGAAGATCCGCTGCGAAGTCCATGTATGGCACATTCACTGTGCGTTTTCTATCTTGAGCACGACTTAAGGGACGGCATAATAAACCCAAGTATCACGCGTGAAACTCTAGTAAAAGTAATATTTCATCGGAAAGTATGAATTACTGGGCCCAGTTGGACCTGTATAATGTGGTCTTTGAAACTCACGAAGACTATCTCTCACATAGGGAGGAGAAGCAGCAAATTCGAGGTTGCCACTCCGTCAAGCCAATTCAGTTTAGACTCGCTGGCATATATACCCTGATCTATGGAAGAATTCGGGAGACATATTTATTTTGTTTGACAATTTTCGAAAAGGACTGTGACATCGGCACCCGGGCAGTTGATGCGAGAATGTATCTGAAGGGTTCTTGGCCAGTTAGGAACTCTGGACAACTTGCTCTGCATAATGTATTTTCTTGTTCACCGTATCTCGCGTCAGAATCCAAAATTTCGTCTTCCACGCCCATTTGAGACGGTTCGAAATCCTCTTGATTTCGCGTGAATACGTGGCATGCAACTATTCACTGATATTTCAGTTTAATGCAACTTTTGTTAACCACTTTTCCGGATGACACTCTCAGGCCCATTTGATCCCGCACAATGTTTCAGTATCGCTAATGATGGATTAACCAAGGCATTTGAGATCGCGTTCTGTAACGTTTGACCATTTGATCAAACCGACGAGACTATTATTAGACAGTTACGAGTGATGTGTTTGCAGAAGGAAGCGATGAGCGTCGTCTGTCCGGAAGATACAGACATCATGTGAGTATTTTGTGTGATACTTTGAAGTAAACCCCGGTTGAACGGGATGCTTTCGTAGTCCAGTGGAACTCTGGCCGGATTCAATGCCTTTAAAAATATGGCATCAAATGTGTCATTCATGTTATCAACGGAGCTCTCCACTTTTGATTGAAACAGTTTTGTAGATAGAGAAATCTTGTTTGCTCGAACAGCATCCTAAGTTTAATTGCCACGCTCGGGACACCAAAGAGCCTGACTCTGTGTCCAGTTAACAAGGAAGAGAAGGAGATATGATTGCACGCTTGTGTGGCTCAGAAACCCGGGATCATCAGTCGATAATATATTAATTAATTCCAGAAAGAACCAACGCAGTCGTATTCGGATTAAAGAAACCCAAATGGTTTCGAATTGCAGTGGAGTGGTGGAGTTGAACTTCTCACCCCATTGTACGCGAGTGAGCTGGACTGTAGGTCGTTTGCAGTTCAGTCAATCTTAATCCCCCAAACAATTCCCACAAGCCTCGAATAAGGTTTCCACCAATTAAGTTCACTCTCCAGCATCAAGGAAAATATAGAATAAAACTTATTCCATATAACACATGAAGCCCAATTGAGAACCAAAATCACTTTCGACCCACCTTTGCCTCTGGGTAATGCTCCATCAGCTGAGCGTAATACGTACATCCGGGATAGTCCACTATGCACCGGTAGCCTTGAAGTATCTCGTCGAATAAGTGTCCGTCAATGTGACCATCCGGGGATTGTGATACAAGCTCATCCACCAGCAACCACTTCTTGGCATGCTCTCGGTGCCGTCCCAAAATCTCACGCATATGATAACATGGCTCTCCGTAGATATGCTCCAGTGCTGTTTTCAAACTCAGCGTCCCCGTTCGTCCTAGGCCTGCGCCGATAACAACGATTGAGGGTTTTCGCACTCGTGGTGAATCTTTCTGTTCCAGCTGCATCACGGAATGACTGGAGTGTGATTTTACGTACTTATGTATCTCGGCGATTTAACGAGTGTTGATCATTAAATGACGGATCAAGTGAAGAAGCGACCTCCGCCGTTTTTACATTTTGTAAATGTCAGATTGTTTAACTGTAACAGAAAGCTCCTTCAAAGTTGAGGACCGGAGACTGGTCGCAAATTACTTTGATCCTGAAATTGGATGATCGGAACACACCGACTTTTTACAAGTAGAATGATCGTTTGTTTGTCACACGCTACCATTCAACATCAAACTTCACGATTTTCTATTCCTGTCCCGCGTGGATGCTTTCAGGGCGACAATGTGCAAATTCTGTAGGGTACGGACGGTTTTGAACAGTTGAATGGAACTTCCGGGTACCCGACGTCACGATGAAGTTAGAGTGCGATTTGTGTCAGGAACCGTTTTACAAGTTCGTGTGCACAGGTAATTTTTTTGGCAAACCGAAGCAATTTGGAGTCGTGGTACTGATGCTTACCTTCTTCCAGCTCAGTAGACATCAGGCGTGGACGTGCTTGACAATAAGACGCCAAACGGAAGAATGCTCTTACTGCGGATTAGTAGTTTCTGGGTTAGGTGCTGTCCTCCAGTGCTTGTTTTGGCATTTTCGTGCAGACGCTATAACTGGCAGACATCATACTGACTTGGAGGCTGATCAAGAATTAGTGGCGAGCACAACTTCTGCCTATTCGGGCATCAATATAGGTATGTGATTTGCCTAGTAGTTAGAGTATACCGTTCAGTCGTCGCAAACGAATAGGTGTTTTCGTCTTACCTGGAGCATAGCTCTCCAGTTCCTAGTATTCGGGGACGGAAAATCCATAAAACGAAGCTGTACGGCTTATCACGAATGTCAAATGCACCTCGCTTACATCAACATCTAATTGAGTAAAATCCGAAAAAAGGTGAACCTAACATAAGTACCATGCGATTCGAAAATGATTTTCACAATTCATAAACTTCATTTTTGATGGATTTCTATGACGTTTTGCAATGCAAACAGTAATTACACTGTATATGTATTCTCGGTATTCAGAGTGGTTATCTTCTGCTTAGACAGTTACGCGGAAACGACAAAGTGGTTCCCAGACATTGGTTACGCGGAGCATCAAAAGTCGTTCAGCTGGAACGTATCGTTGAACTCGCTGGTTCCATTCCTCAAATGCAGCTGCACATTCTTTGTCGTTGTTCATGCCCACTGTGTAACCCGGAGAACGTTTTATCAGGCAGTCGAGCATTCGCGCTGTGGTAGCACCGAAATGAAGAAAACCTAATAACCCATTCATCCAGGAGAATGTCCGCTGTTTCAGAATTGTATGACGCGCGGAATCTAACCACCTCGTTGTTTCTCTAAATGTAAGGGTGACCTTTTGTAAAAGAGAGAATTTATTCATGAAGTCGACAGCTACATACCGCATCGTATCATCCGCACGAAAACCCTAACATTGAGGCAACGTAATTTGTCCGCTTGACTTAAGTAACAGAAATATAACAATGTGCGATAGCTTTCTTGAAAGAAACGCTTAGTTGAGACTCAAAAACCGTGTGAGTTTGCGTAAACGCAAAACAATGGATTGAAACTCACAAAAACGACCTAACGTTTCAACACAATTCTGTGAAAGCCATGATTAGGTATTTTTATTCTACGTTCGAACTTGAGTAACTTGATGAAATGTGCCTGAGGTCAACTTGGATTCTGGTTTTAATAATTTAGCATGATGTGAATGAAGCACTGTGTAACTTTTGAAATTCCCTACAGACTGTGTTCACCACTCTGTCTGTGGCAACCAAATGACTTCGTTACAACCAATATTAGCTATCACTTGCGAATCTCTACGATGTACAAGGCCTTTATCGACTTGCGGTTAGAATTTCAATTGAAAGTTCATAACAGTTAAATATTCATTGGATTAGAGATCGAAACTGTGCTTTGATCTTTAGACAGAGCTGGATAAAAAGATCGCGATAGATGTATGATCGCTCTGCTAAGATGTTAAAATTCTAGTCGACCACATAAATATTTGTTTTATTCGTGCTCGTGACTTGGTTACGTGTTCCCATCTTGTGAGGCTAGCTATTAGGGACCGCGTGATCGTGTCGGGCCTGTTCAATTATCTGCACCGGTTTTCAGCTACTGGTATTTCCGTGCACTGACACTCATCACACACAGTCACATCGCCGTTTGCTACATTGTATTTGCCTCGTGTCCGTCCAACATTTCACTCTTTTCTAACTGGTTGTCCGTTGCATGCATGTCCCGTCATGGTAAATATGCACTGTGAGTCACCATTGATTCTTATTATGCACTCAGTGTCTTTAATCTCGTAGCTTTCCGTCCCTGAGGAATAGGAGGCACTTTCGTACTAGTGCAGGACATCCCAGTTCTTCTGCTGCACGCAGCCTATCTCATTTTACCCAATTTTCCGCTGGAAACTTTTGGAAGTGAAATGGCAGTTTACCTCAAAGGTAAATCAGAATGCTCCGTAAAAACGGTAAACCCAGTCAGTTTATATCTCCGTTCAACGAGTAAACGAGAGAGGAAAAATTAACCAAATTGAGAATTCAATCAGTTTAATCCGGTTTGTTTAGTTCTTCTATTGATAAATTATCTGTCCATCTGTACCATTTTCCCGTCTTAAACGATCTTCGCAACTCCTCATTCACTGACGTGTGACACGCTGATGTCCGTGGTATTCGTGTTTCACAGCTTTACGGTGAACCGGCAGTGAAGAATGTATTGTTGCTGTGCTGCATCCTACCTACGGGAAGAAAGGGGAGACAGACGGTAGGAAGATAAGAGGAATTATCCAACACAGGCTGAAGCAGCACCCGTTATCACAAATATATGTTACTCAGAAATGGTGGGATGAAGTCGATTTCGCGTAGTTCGCAGCAATTCACTGTTTAGGTTTGTGAGCAACATTCAAAACCTTCGGTAGGGTTTCTACAAACTCACTTTTACCTGTAAGGTTTGCGAACAATCCTCGGAGCCTTCGTTAGGGTTTCTACAAGCTCACCTACACTAGAGGCTAGCACAGAAACTCATTTATGCGATTTACGTTAAGACGGCACTGACCTTAGCATGTGGATAGTGCTCCATCAATTGGGCGTAATATGTACAGGCTGGGTAGTCCACTGTATATCCGTAACCTTTAAATATCTCGTCGAACAAGCTTCCTTCAATGTGGCCATCTGGGGATTGTGAGACCAGTTTATCCACTCGTAACCACTTTTCAGCATGATCCCGGCGCTGACTCATAAGTTCGAACATGTGATACCACGGCTCTCCATAGAAGTGCTCTAATGCTGACTTCAAACTCCTCGTCCACGTTCATCCCAGGCCAGCGCCGATAACCAGGATGGGTTGCTTTTGCACCGCTGTCGAAACTTTCTGTTGCATTTACGTCACTCAAACAGTGATACAATGTTCCGCGCACATATATATCTTTGCGCTTTACTCACTATTTACAAACGTGTGGGTGGTAGAAATCTCTCGCTTTTTATCTTCATTCGTTCATCTATGATGATCAATTGAAAACGACTGGAGACCGGTCATAACTTATTGTGTTGATAATGTCGGAAGTGCACCTTAGATGTGTTGATGGCCAACATACTGACAACTTTTCAGAGATGGAATATATACAAACAACGGAGCGCAAGTTTGTCCAAACACTCCAGTCGCTCATTAAATCGTCCAGATTTTCAAACTTGACGGGTTTGAAATTCAACGTGTCTTTGTGAAAATCGTTCTCCGAGTTACAAATAAGATAAACTAAGACAGCAATACTGAACAGAGTTTGATATTGAAGTCAATTTCTCCTTCATTTATGCGAAAAAAGAACACGGTACTCAATGCTGCCCATATGTGCGGCATACGTCATTGCAAGCCGCCTCACGGTCCCATGAGTATTAGGGAGTCGATTCCATAGGTCCTAGCGATTGGTGATTTCAGGTGCTGTGGACAAACAAACAGTTGGCGTCCGACAGATTTAATCGAACCTGCGTTTTGGCCGGTCTGGCCAAATACAGGCAGAGGTTTGAAATGGTTGACACGGGGCAGTTCCCGTATCGGTGCCACATATGCGAACGTATGCGTTGCGTTCTCAACATTCTCAACATTCCTACCACTAGTGTATTCAGTAAGTGATCATTAGTGGTTAGCAGGTCAGATAGTGTTGAGTTGCCTGCCATCTGGCGCGGCCATGTGGTGACGACTGAAGGACGGTTGGTTGCACGTGACAAGCCTATTCAGTCCGATGGGCAAATGTTAAACACGCACACAGCTCAACCGGGCCACAAGAAAAGCAAGGACTCTAACCACTAAATGCGGACATCAGTCGTCTTTCCCATCACCACCATTAGCCTATCTAGTGCAAAATACCTAGCTCCTACGTCGGAACTCAATGCACGTCTGATGAATTCCATCAAACGAATACTATCCACATGAAGATATAACTTTCCCAGAGGAATTTGTGCGTTGTTTCTCCCTTTACGTTCAGTGTGGGGCCCGTAGGCTTATCAGGATTCTGCTAATAGATAAGTGGGAAAATCAAACGTTCTACCTAAATAAGGGGTGGCTATTAAACAGATAGTCTGTCTGGTTTTAAAACACAATAATTGTCTTCTTATTTACAAATGGATGTAAACTTTAAGGCACCCAGTATTTTTATGTACCAGAATTTCAACGTCCGTTATCCAGATTGGAATAATTTGACAACAGTCTGACCAGCATCACGTATGTTTCCATGTGAAGTGTTTCCGAGGATTTCTCTTTCAACAAGGTGCAAACTTGAGCCAGCTACATTATGTTTCACAGAAAGCAGTCATGCTTACCAAATGGTTGCTGCAATGAGGGGCGATGACCCAGTTTGGGCATGAATCCTGGAACTTAGATCATACAACATAAGAAGGCCGGGGATGGTGAAACAGCGAATTATCAGATCTGCCAGAACTCAATTCTCAAGAAAATGAATTGCAGAATACCGATAACGAGCCCATAAAGAAATCAGAACTTCCAGCTCTGGATTAACTCCTGATCAACCTAACACATTTTTCTGCGGATGTCTCATCTAGTAGCTTCAACCTTCGACAACTACATCCATTTGCAAACCAATTTGGTTTACACGAAAGTCTCGCCTGATTCCCTGCTAAATCTCTCGTTTATGATGTTCTTCTTCAACCGGAAGTGCCTCACCAGCCTGTCTCATGTTTCGGATGGAACATCATGAACAAGAGATTCAGCTAGGCTTCAGGTGGGTCCCCTGTGAAAACCAACTTATTGTGCAAACGACTTTCTTCATTCAACTTGGGTTGAAGCAGAAACTAAGATTGACAGACCCCAGGAGACTGTGGCTGCCTGATCGATACTATAAAGTGCGAAATCGGTCGTGACCTGTTGAAGATTTTGAGGCAATTTATTGGTAGCATGTTGCACCTATAATTCCTGTCTTCCCTATACTATATAGGTGAACATTCCATCTGAGATCTTGGGATATCAGAAGGTCAAGTCTTTCGTTTCGTGCGTTCACCTGAAAACTTGTGGGGGTATGACACCCAGGAGGATCGTACAGTTGATAAATTTCAGGATGTAACAAAGCTTTACCAAGCAGGTGCACTTGAATGTGTTGGTCAATAAAAACGATATGTTTGGTCTTTTTCGTGGAACTCTGTGGTGATTTGATTGTAATCTTTCTTGCTAGAGTTTGTTGGAAACAGGCATTTTTCTGTTTAGTGTGATGCTGATAATTTGGTCAAGGTGACTGTTCTCTGATTCAGTTATATTCCTCTTGTTGATATTTTGAAGAAACTGAGATTAACGACCACCTCGTAATGTGAACCTATTAGGCACTTGCCGAAATCTAAACTTCATTCTTATTGCAGTGAGATAATGTATTTTTGTGTAGCGTGTAGCTTCCATTTAGAATACCCGTTCAAGGCTCCCGTCGATAACTCGGCATTAGTAATGCCTGCACCGTCAGGCTGCACGTGTGACATCCTCAGTAATTTCTACCGTAAATTTCCATCCCGTTAGAACATCTGAAAATGTTGGCGCGCCTGTTCACGTGAGAAATCAATGAATGAACGATACCGATGCACGTTTTGTGAAGTAAATTGAGTGACTGATTCATTTCAACTACATCCCAGGTTGAATGCCTAGTGAAACGGTCATCCAACATATACGGGAGGGGGTATATCAGTGTTCAGATCAGTTTGACGTTGTTCAACTGATAGCCGAACGTGGTATTACTAGGCTTTTTTCCAAAGAAGCACGGCTGTGAGGCTTGCGGTCTGCACAGTTCAGAATTCCACGTTCGGAGTTTCGTTTAAGAGAATATGATCAAGATGGATTTTCTCACATTTTCAAATAACACTGGAATCAACAAATCTGGAAATCTTTTTGGGGTTAATCGCGTCAGCTGCGGTGACCAAGCTTCCTTTGGTTGGCTTGATGCTGCAACATAGCTCGAATCCCTCCTACAATTTTTGGATTTTGGATGAGCTTGACTTGCTACTCAACTTCTCAACCAGCAGATTCTGCACTTTGCGACGCTAAGTGCACGACACTACATAATAATGCTGTTAATAAAAAAAACAGTAAATTTCGTAGTGCTAAGATTCGGACCAAATTCCTCTCCATTAGAAGAAACATTCCACTTAGGACAACCGCAGAGTGTCCCATCATATGCATCATGAGACAGTTATTTTGCTCAACTATCTTGCTACGCTTAATTTGATCCTGTTACAGAAGCTGGAGTAGAATTTCAAGTAGTTATATGTTAAGTAGAATGCAAACGATGAGCGATCAGCTCTGGAAATCCTTCTGCAGCCAAATACAACTTCACGAATTTAACCTATTTCCTGATGTAAGCTCTTGGGGTTGTATCAAATAATACCCCCAACTTTGAAAAAGTGTAACGATTTTTATCGTATTCACCTCATCTCCATTCACTCTCTTCCACCGATTGGTTTGTATTGAATAAAGATCAGAGACTTGCTTGGTGAAATGAGAACTATCTATCGCATGTGACCTTGATCGACTAAATCAGAAGGAAGTTGATGAAATCCACCCCATAATTTTGCTCCACGTAGGGAACGAAATGCAGAGCCCCAGTTTATTCCCGGGGCACGTCAAGATACTTTGTCACAGGTTCGAACATTAGGCATATCGGTGTCTACGATGGTTGGACGTGCTCGCAATGGAAATAACACCGGTTATCTGAAGCAGACCATAGTACCACCCATTTTGCTGATTCTTAACCTGATTGCTCTGTTTACATTGCAAAGAATATATCCTCCACTCGGTCATCATAAGATGCAATGGAACAAGATTACTTGTTTCCGTGGACTTTACAGGCAACAAGTACTGTGTTTCTTTGTTGTACGGTAAAAATAAAATTTCCTCATAGGGATTGTGCACAGACCAGGTCGAAGACCGGACCGTGCATCAAGGGAATTGATCGTGAGCATCTAGCACCTATATGAATAGAGACATCACCATTGCCTAACCATTGGACCACCAAGACTAATCGTAATGTCATTAAGATAGTTTCTAATTCTCTGTAGTTAGATCTTGTCAGACAGCGAGGTCACAACTAATAGGCCATCGTGAACCCAGTCGGCTCTGTCGTACGCGTTTCGCACACATCGTATCGGTATACCGTTTGGTTTCCTGCCTTCGCTCATTTCGAATTTTTAACGTGTTTTCTGTCTAAGAACGAAATGCCTCCGGTTTGTGGTCTCCTTCGGCTGGTAGACCTTCCTGGCCAACGGCTCCATTCGACGCGCCTAGAGTCCAAAAATATCAACCTGGCCTGCTTCTTATCACCATTCAGTATTCTTTTCAGATAGATACAATGCTTTAATCTCTATCTCACTTTACTGTGCTAGATCGTGTGTAGTTCAAACTTTGAATACAAAATAGAACTATTTCTGTTTCCTCCATGACCTTCACTAGCGGGAGAGTCGCTTCCAAAATAAGGTAAACTGAGTGAACTGAACGTTTACTACATTATGTAAGTGAGTGAGGGAGAAACAAGTGGATGATTATAAAGGGAGCTCGTATTATCAACTGCCTGGTCGAAAACCTTGCGCAGACAAAACCTGAAATTCTCTGACAGCAGCGAAGGAACCGACTCCCAACTGTAACAACAATACAATTGGAACAGATTATGGCATTGTAAAATACCTTGTTTGTGCATAAAATTCCTTTCTGTTGTTCTTTTGTGGAAACGGGAGGGCATTCTGTGTGTTATGTATTTTAATTAAAATTACCCAGAAGGGAATCTTCCAGTCAGCTCACTGTCAGGATTTTATGGTATACTGGATATCGTGTAACATTTCCTTGAGAGAACCAGAGATCTTTATCATGACATTAAAACAGTCCGTCATAAACTTGTACATGTTCCCTCTCCCAGGTAAGCTCCAATGGACCATCAAGGTGAACTTGAAAAACTGCTTTCCGAAAAGTCATAGAAGTTTATTCACCCTTCTTCACACTGGCTTTCGTCAATCGTACTGGAGAAAAAATAATCTAAGGATATGTGTGGAATAATAACAACTAAATCAGGTATGCAGACGTGACGCTTTCCCGCCAACACACGTGCATGATGCGAGTGATCCACTGGTTGATTCGAGGTGATTCTTCACACTGGATTTAGCGAGTCGGGCATCGCCCGAAAGACGGTCGCAAAACAGTCTTTCCAGTCTCATTAGGTCTAAATGAATTCAAAATTCAATTTGGAATGTCGAGTTGCGGACGCACCAACTACATTTCGGCAGTTCATACAGACGGTTCATTGGTGAGTTGTTTCCAAGATCTTGCCAGATCTACCTAGATGGCTTCATTGTTCATGGCCGGACAGTGTACGAACTCAACAGTCGCCTATGGGGACTACTTTTGTCGTCCCTAGTGTGCTGATCTTTCTCTCCGCATGTATGGATGCGGGATTTTACAGTGTAAATGTTGTATTTTGTGATTGTATTCGCTTATTCTTAGGTTACCCAATGAATCGTAATATGACTGAGCACACTGCTGACTGGCGGACAACCACGGGCGCCCGTCATCCGCATAGTTCCCTTGTATCATGCTACCTAACAACAATTAAAGGGTTTGCTGCCATAAGGGCGTCACTTCAAGGGATTACCCAGAAAAGTTAAAATATTGCATGGACTAGAATGTTCCATAGCCTTCAACTGCCTGAACCGAGCACTAACATCTTCGTCTATTTCAGCATGCCTGGACTTTCCACTTGGCGCGAGGGAGTTTGTCTTAGATGCGAACACCAGCAAAATGATGATTGGTGCCGCACTGCTCCAATTTGTTGCAGATCAAGAAGTTGTCTTTACATATGGAAGCAGTCTCCTGGATCAAGGTAAACGTAAATACACTATTTGCTAATTTGCACCTGATGACCTCTGGAGACCCCTAAACAAGGATGCTGTGGTCACGATGGGAGCAGCTGCGTGCCAAGAGTGCCTCACTTTGTGGATAGTTGGGATGATAAACCTAGCGAGAATTGTGACACGCTAGACAGAGGATAGCGGAATGTCACAAAAGTTTTTCTGCTCATGCCTCATGCTGGACAACCATACCGCAGATTTCTGTCACCACCGCTCCCCATGTGCTGAAAACAAGACACCCATAATAGCACCACGAACACTGCAACAAACGATCCCCACACAAGGCCCTAACGACCAAGTAGATACTGACGTTGATCGATCCCTACCGGTGCCTAGGAGTGGGAGCCACAATATGTGTGAACACAGCGACCAAGAGGAAGCTCGTTTGAAACAAGGGAAAATAAAAGGTCACCATTAGACCAGCAGTTTGGCAATAGCCACCAGAAAATTCGAAGGTGAGGTCACACTGTCACAACCGAAAGTGGTCTGTGTTGGTTTGCAGTTGTTGCCAGCCAGTTGAACTTCATCATCCGTGTTAAATGCTTTTGTACACAGAGTTCAGGCTTACGTTGTCGGATGGATACTATAGTGGCTTTAGCGAAAAGCTCCGTGTGCCCATACTTTAAGTGACTTTTCGAGCCTGGATAAAATGGGGTCATTCAGCTGTATAGAAATTTAAATGGAACCAGTGTTTCACGAAACGTGACAGCGTTCACAGATTTCGTCAGAAAATCATCTTGTCGCATGATGGATATATGATGTCCTATATGGGCAGCGTCAAGGGGAATTAATTCTCTAGGAGTCAGCGATTCATGAAGTTTTGATCAGGATCGGAGCACATGCGGAACATCCCAGGGACAGGTTTGATCTCGCTGTCTGGTGGCTTTAGTTCGACTGAAGCATACCAGTGGCGCCGATGTCCGAAATCGCAACCGTGGCCAGTGAGCTTGCTAGCGCGGGGACACGCATAATAAACATCAAAAAGTCATTTGAATCGGGTCCCAGTGGGGTATTTTACATTTTCGGTGTTTCGAAGATTTTTGTCCACTGCGCACAATCCCGCTATATTCTGAGCGTTGTTGGAGCTCGGTCAGCACTGACCTCACTTAGTCATATTAGTATACCTTTTGCGTACGCTCCTGCTCTTGCAGGCCAAAATAGACAAGTATCAAATTTCACCTAATCGTCATACCCATTTCAGAGTGAAACGTCACAGACAGGCTGTTGTTTTTGTTTATTATTATTATCATTGTTATTGTTTGGGAATCCCATGGATATCTAAAGAGTAGTATGTGTTAAATACCGTTGATGCGTCATGAGATTCCCGTTTGGTTAATTTAGGCCTACTAAAGAGAATGCACACACGTGATCGGGGTTGGTGATTACTTCGACCGCATTTGACCACAGACTCACTAGATGGTTTATATGTTCATCGGATCTGGTGCCAATCTACCGCAGACACACAGTTCGGTTTCTGGGTCAAATGTGCTCGTTACCGCGCAGGACCCATTCGGTTACCTGCCCCATGCAGTTACCCGCCCCGTGCATTTATCACATGGCGGAGATGGCGCAGGGAATTACGGGACGGACACAAGCCCCCTCATTTGAGGGAACAGAGAACAAGCCATGGCGACGTAGTTTCATCAGACAAGCCCGTTAAACACGACAAGCTCACGAAGGTCTCAGTGCGTATGGCGGTTAGATAGCTTATCCCATATTAATGTAATATACATAGCAAGCACACAGACTTAGGTCGGCCCCATCATTACAAAGTAAGGGAAGGATAAGAGTGAATATTCTCTGGCTTTATGTTCTTGCGTCCCCATGCTGGCAAGCGTTCTAGGTCGATATTTTCATTCAATGTGGCGAATAAAAGCTAAACCACTGTTCCAATCACCCGACAGAATCGATCTGATGAGGCCACATTTTGCATCTCCAGGGTACGCATCAGTCCCTGTTGATCCACAGGGGTTAAAAATGAAAGCATTCTTAACCGAAGTTGGTGGGTTTCACGAGGTCAAAAACTACCTGGTTTCAGGGCAAATGGCTGTGTTTAATCATAGTGTAATGCAGCTTTCCTTGTAGTGAACGAAGACGTGACCATCAAACTTACGTCCAGGGTGTCTTTCAGTTCTTTACGCAAAGCTCAATAATGTGTATGCTATGAAATTCATTGACTAAATCATTAAAACGTCACATTTTGTCTATTTTCGTAACAACACGAAGGGAACCAATGGAACAACATCGGATAGAATACTTCCGATCTAACTCCAAAGAACATTGACAATAAACAGTAATTATCGGATGACAACTGTCAAATACTGTATACCACCCGTTACACAACTGTAATTCCTATAATTAAGCAAACTAACTCCTTTCAAATGGGTCATGAAAATCTTGGATATTTTCACCGAACTGATACAGAAATTAGAACCTACAAGTACTGAATACAGGAAAGATTTTAGCCATCAAAATAGTAAGTGCACTGGTATACTCGTCCTGGTATACTCGTCCTTAACATACTTTCTGAAGGACTGCTTACGACACCATCATAGGTCACTCCGTCTTGGATTGGGTGCAAGGCGCATACTATATGCTATATTACGTGTGGATCTGTCGGCGTTACATCAATGCTTCGGTTACATACTTTTTCAATCAGGAGGTTGTTTGTTCCACAAAGTGGCGATTACGTCACACGGGTGGTTCAAATAGTCACTTGTGCAGCTTCGGTGTTACACCGTACACACCGTAGGCAAAATCAGTTACATGTGAACAAGTCGATTCGCTTGTAAACACGATGCGGACCACAAATATAGAGCTACGATAACATTTCGCGAAGCACCAAATTCACTTCTGAAGCAGTACTGTGTCAAACCAAACAGTATTTACACTAGAGATGTAATCTTCGTGTATTGACTGGATATCTTCTACTTGGAGTCGTTCGGTTCCAACTCCAAGCACGGAATTTGTGCAGCAAACCACATTTGTATGTCTGATGCGGCTGTGCCAACATCACAATCATTCACGTAATTAGAGGCGATAAATGATCAATATGCCGTGGATCCTTAACATCACACTAACAAAACGAAGAGTTGATAGTTGAAAGATGCGATCCATTGTTTCTGAAAATTGGGAGGATCACCGCAGCCGCTGATTTGTGGTTTAATCTGTCTTCTTGTTGGTGCAAACGCAAACAGCCACAGTAATTATAATGATTGTTCCTTAGTTTTGTGAAAATCAGCAACCGATCAACCGTAGCAAGTGTGTTTCAATCGCAATTGATAACCAGTCTTCGCAGTAAACTTCCATATCTGAATTATTTCGGGGGAAACTAGCTTTCCTCTCCTCATATTCTATGCATCACACCGTCAAGTCCAGTGCCAGATCCTCCTGAGTTCCACTAGACTGAGTGCCAATACAAGTCACGTACGATGGAAAGGAGCTTGGATGAGTACCATGTATGTCTTGAAATGGAGGACTAGACCAAGTCGTTTCATTTGTCTTCAGTTTTACTGTTCATGGAAGCGCTATCGTCCACAATGGCAGAATGGACCCAGGCTAGATGATAATTTCACTATTTGCTTTAATTTACTGTGCCGTTAATTCAGCAACTGAAAATGTATTAGGTTGAGGTATTCCTTCCAAGAATCCTCGTAGAGAGTTTATCGGTGTCCAGTTCCTAGCCCACCGCCTATGCATGAAAATGCAAAATGTAGAATAGATAGAATAATTGACGATATTTGGAGTACATAGGACGGAAACTTGCTGATTCAGCTCTCAGGCTGATAGCACTCGAAGTACTTTGAATACGATATAACAAACAAGACTCATTGCTAGCAGCAACAAAATTTGAATTCGATGTTTATCCATGTGGAATTTTATGTGAGAATGGAACTGTTCCCTGTTGTTCTCGTGTGGGAATGGAATGGTTGGCACGGGGACCTGTAAGAATTGACAAAGTGGTTCCCAGCCATCGGTTACGCGGAACACCAAAAGTCGTTCAACTGGAACATATCGTTGAACTCGCTGGTTCCATTTCTCATATGCAGCTGCACATTCCTTGTCGTTGTTCATATCCACCGTGTAACCCAGCGAACGCTTCATCATGTAATCGAACATTCGGGCTGCTGTAGCACCAAACTGAAGAAAATCATCAAGCGAATTCATCCAAAAAAATGTGCGCTGTTTCAGGATTTTATGACGTACGAAATCTAACCACTCCGTTGTTTCTCTAACCGTAAGGATAACCTTTAGTAAAAAGGAGAACTTCTGCGTGAGATGAACAGTAGCATGCCACATCATATCATCCGCATGAAAAAAACACCAACCATTCAGATAACCTTATTAGTTCGATTAAAATAATCGACATGGAAACCCGGTTATTCGTGAAGCAGAGTGATGCAGATTTGCGTAAACACAAAACAATTGAGTCTATCTCACCTAACTTTTGGATAAACTCAGTACGTTGCAGCACAACCCTTTGGAAGTCAAGATTTGGTTTTTGACCTCCGTTCGGACATGAATAGCGTGTTGAAATGCGCCTCATTTCAACTTGGATTCTGGTCTAAATTATTTACCACAATGAGAAAGCAGCACCATGTGACTGTTGAAACTTTCTACAGACTACGTCCACCACTATGTGGCCGCCGGATGATTTCGTTACAATCACAGTCTTTATCGACTTGGGCTTTGCATTTTAACTGAAAGTTTCTAACGGTTAACTATTCATTAGATTGGATGGTGAAATCTCAAAATTGCACTTTGATCTTGAGACAGAGTTGGACAAAATGATCGTGATAGATTTACCATTGCTGTACTAAACTGCCAAAATTCTAATCAACCTGATATCTATCTAGTATAGTTATTTCTCCTTCCGCTTCTTTGTAAAACTCATGAGATAGTAATTGGAACGTTAAATAAATCTGTCGCTCAGCGCTTTCGACTGGTTTTCTGCTTTTATCCAGTTCTCTGGACTGCATCCAAAGCACCAAAGCTATTCTTCATTCAGCCAGATTCCTTCTATGGATGTTCCCAAAGCCATTTCATCTTCTAGTGTGAACATTGCAATATCTGTCAATAGCAACCAACTGACTGATACCGACATGCTCATTGATTATGATTTGGTGCCGTCTATTCTTGGTGAACTGTCCAACAAGCTGGTTTATTATGCACCACTGCCAAATTCTTGGATTAAAGGGGACTTCGAACAGTTCACTAGCGTTGGTGACAGATGGCCGCACTGCTTCAAATGTTGTTCTCAGAACTGACCGGATTGCATCACTCTAAGACGTGAATTTTTGGAGAGTTACATGTGAGGTTCAAATTGCTTTTCTATTTCCGGTGGTACGAAGAGAGTATACTGAATACGACAGCATACGGTGAATCTGAAGAGAAATTATTGAATACAGGTATTTGCCTTTATGTAAACGTTCTTTAACAATAAAAACTATCACACAACCTTTTGTCGAAATATTCATATGCTGGCTCTGTTCGTGCCCGTGACTTGACTGCGTGTTACCACCATGTGAGCCTATCTATTACGGGCCACATGACTGTGCCAAGCGTGCTCAGTTATCCGCACCGGAACTTGGCGTCCGGCCTTCACTCGCAGTGACACTTATCACACCCAGTCACATTACCGTTTGCTACGGTGCACTGGGATCCTGTCAGTTTACTATTACTCAGTATTTTAACTGGTCGTCCGTTGCAAGTATGGCCTTCAAGTTAAATATACACGTACACTGTGAGGCACCACTGATACTCGTTATGAACTCTATCTTTGGTCTCGTAGCTCACTGTCCTCGTAGGATGGAGGTATTCCAGTGCTGGTACAGAATAGCCCATTTCTGCTGCTGCATGAAGCCTATCCCAGTTTCCCCGATTTGTAAGGCATTGTTCCTGTTTCTTTGGAAGTGCTATCGAAATGCTTGTAGAGAAATTGCAGTTTACTCCTAAGGCAAAGCAAAAATGCAAAACACAGTCGATTTATATCACCGTTCAACGACTAAACGAGAAAAGGAAAATTCACCAAGCGCGGAATTCATAATATACCAGAGATATTTTAATACAAGCTAAAACAGAAATAGTTGGATGAAGTCGATTTTGTGCAATTCGCAGCAATTCACTGTTTAGGTTTGTGAACAACCTTCAAAACCTTTGGTAGGGTTTCTACAAACTCACTTTTACCCGCAAGACAATATCGAATTACTCTTCTTACAAAGTCATCGGAAGCTAGTGCAGAGACTTACGTGATTTATATCAAGACAGCACTACCCTTAGCATCTGGATAGTGCTCCATCAATTGGGAGTAATATGTACAGGCTGGGTAGTCCACTGTACATCGGTAGCCCTGAAATACCTCGTCGAACAAACTTCCTTCAATGTGGCCATCTGGGGATTGTGAGACCAGTTTATCCACTCGTAACCACTTTTCAGCATGATCCCGGCGCTGACTCATAAGTTCGAACATGTGATAGCACGGCTCTCCATAGATGTGCTCCAATGCTGACTTCATTGTCCCCATTGACTCATTGTCCCCGTTCGTCCTAGGCCAGCGCCAATAACCAGGCCTTTGGGTTTCCTCACTGCTTTCGAAACTTTCTGTTGCATTTACGTCACTCACTCACTGATACAATATTTTGCGCACACATATATCTTTGCGCTTTGCTCACTGTTTATAAACATGCAACTGGTAGAACTCTCTGCTTTTTTACATTCATTTGTTTACATATGAGGATTAACTAAAAAAGACCAGAGACCGGTCATAACTTACTGTGTTGACGATGTCGGATGTTCATCTCAGATGTGTTGCTGGCCAACGAAATGACAACCTTTCAGAGATGGAATGTATACAACTAACGGCGCGCAAGTTCGTCCGACCAATCCAATCGTTCATTAAATCGTCCAGCTTTTCAAACTTGACGAGCTCGAAATTCAGCAAATCTGGGAGAAAATCGTTCTCCGAATTACGAATAAGGTAAGCGAAGACAGCATAATTGAATTGAGTTTTCATATTGCGTAAAAAATGGTACTCAACGCAGCCCACATGTGCGGCATTTTCTTAAACAGAATAGGTTATTGCAAGCCACATCATAGTTTAATGGGTAGCAGGAAATATATTCCACAGATCCCAGCGATTGATACTTCTCAATGATGTAGACAAACAAGCAGTTGGCACCCGACGGATTCAATCGAACCTGCGGCCGAGTCAGATACAGACAGAGGTTTGAAATGACTGACACGGGGTGGATCCCGTATCGGTTCCACAAATGCCGTGTACACCTCAGTCTCAACATTCGTACCACCACTATACTGGTCCAGCGGCTATAATTGGCTAGCAGATCTAATAGTGTTGAGATGCCTCCACCTGGCGCGGTCATGCGGTGATAACTGAAGGACGACTGGCTTCACGTGACAAGCCAATTCAATCCGAAGGCGAAATGTTAAACCTGCATAGAGAGCAACACACACACGTTCACACACACACACACACACACACACACATAGATCAATCAGACCACACGAAACGCTAAGATTCTGACCACTGAACGCGAACAACAGTCTGGTGTATCTAAACACCAACCTGAGCCTACCGAGTACAAAATACCTAGTTGCTATGTCGGAACTCAATGCACAAGCGATGAATTCCATCAAATGATTACTATCCACATGAAGATATAACTTTCCCAGAGGAGAGTGTGTGTTTCCCCTCCTTTTACGTTCAGTGTGGGGCTCCTAGGCTTATTAGAATTCTGCTAATAGATAAGTGGGAAAATCAGAAGTTCTGCCTAAATAAGGGGTGGCTATTAAACAGATAGTCTGTCTGGTTTTAAAACACAATAATTGTCTTCTTATTTACAAATGGATGTAAACTTTAAGGCACCCAGTATTTTTATGTACCAGAATTTCAACGTCCGTTATCCAGATTGGAATAATTTGACAACAGTCTGACCAGCATCACGTATGTTTCCATGTGAAGTGTTTCCGAGGATTTCTCTTTCAACAAGGTGCAAACTTGAGCCAGCTACATTATGTTTCACAGAAAGCAGTCATGCTTACCAAATGGTTGCTGCAATGAGGGGCGATGACCCAGTTTGGGCATGAATCCTGGAACTTAGATCATACAACATAAGAAGGCCGGGGATGGTGAAACAGCGAATTATCAAATCTGCCAAAACGTAGGGCTACTCAGTTCCCAAGAAGATGAATTGCTGGTAGTGTGAGGAGATTCGGGAGTTTTGTGGGATTTCGTCCTGTAAGTGAAGCCAATCTATGCTGAAAAGCCGAGAAGCACTGTACAGCTGTTCTATCCTTATTGGGAATCATCAGCAGTGCGCATCTTACGAAACTCCGGAGAGTCTCGAACCCGCGACCTCCCGGCTAGTAGTTTGAACACTTAACCGTTCGGCCACGATTGGCTGATCAGCAGTGTGATTAACTCGCACTTAGACAGGATACAGCGCCGCTCATCCTTCAATCACGGGATCCACATCACGCGGGCACGGTTAACTGGCTCCTCGAGCAACGACTTCTCAGATAGAAGTTCCACTCATCGGGTGAAGTTTATTCTTCCACTAAGCTACTTCTACGGGAGGGTGTATATCAGTGTTCGGTTCAGATTGTCCAAGCTGTAACATGATGCAGTTTGACGCACTCTAACGGATAGCCGGAAGGATAGTATTACCAGGCCTTTTTCTCAACAAACACTGCTGTGCGGCTTGCGGTCTGCACAGTTCAGAATTCCACGTCTGCGAGTTTCATTTAAGAGAATATGGTCATGATGCATTTCCCCACACTTTCAAGCAACATTGGAATCAACAAATCTGAAAGTCTTGTTGGGGTTAATCGCATCAGAGGCGGCGACCAAGCTTCCTTTGGTTGGCTTGATGCTGCAACATAGCTCGAATCCCTCCCACCACTTTTGGATTTTGGATTAGCTTGACTTGCTACCCAACTTCTCAACCAGCAGATTCTGCACTTTGCGACGCCAAATGCACAACTCTGCGGAATAATAGTGCTAATAAAAAATCGTAATAAATTTTGGAGTGCTAAGATTCGGATCAAATTCCTCTTCACTGGAGGGAGCATTGCACCTAGAACAACCGCAGAGTACCCTAATGTATGCATCTTGAGACAGTTATTTTGTTCAACTATCTTGCTATGCTTAATTCGATTCTGTTATAGAAACCGGAGTAGAATTTTCAAGTAGTTATAGCGATCAGCGCTGGAAAGCTTCTGCCCTGAAATAAAACTTCACGAATGTAACCTATTTCCTGATGTGAGCTCTTTGGAATGCATCAAATCATACTCTCAACTCTAAAATACGTAAAGATTTTTATCGTATTCGCCTCATCTCCATTCACTCTCTTCCGGCGACTGGTTTGTATTGAATAACAATCCGAAACTTGCCTTTTGACATGAGCACTATCTATCGCATGTGACTTTGATCGACTAAATCAGAAGGAAGTTGATAAAATCCACCCCTTTATTTCACTCCACGTAGGGAACGTATTCATCTCTCCTGCCGTTCATTAACATTTTTCTGCTCGCTCTTACGTTTCGTTTGCCGTTTAGTCAATAAGGTTGAGACTCTGTTGTCTGTCTTTATCTCGTGCAATTTTATGTCAGCTCTCAATTTTCGAGTGTTTGTTGAGACGACAAAGCCGCCTGCCCAGGATCGAACCTAGGACACATGTAAACAAACAAATGCGCTACCCACGGAGCCAGTTCGACCACCAAATTTTTGTGACACCTTTGTATTCGGTCTTACCTGGTAGCTTTTGTTGGGATTTCGTTGTAAATGAACGTAAGCGAACATTCCACTTTTTTTTCACACTGCGAGCCAAAGAATGCAGGTATACTTCGTTTGTGCTGTACTCACTCAGTACCCGTTTTCCAGGTAGTTTCTGTTTCCTTTTGATTTGGAAATACACCCTACCGACCGCGTTTCTGACCGTTATCTTCGTATACTTCCCATTTATACGCGCTAACATCCCACATTCACATACTTGTATATCATTTGGCACTTACTCGTTATTACTCCTAGAAAGCCCCCACTGCCTAATTGTCCCTTTTTGATTTTTACCGATTCTTCAATGGTTTATTGTACGTTCCACTCAATTAATCGTCCTTAGTGACCCATTTTTTGTGAAACCAGCTGTCAACCCAGCGTCTGCTGTCTTCGTCTTTCTGTCTGTACTGCCCGGCATCTGCTGGATGCCAGCTGCGTATAGTCCGACAGCTCCGAACCATCTTTAAAATCCAAACACGTCGTATTTGACAACAGCAATGCACTCACTAATACGCTGGTTTATCTATATAGTATCATCATACCACTTTTGCGATACTGTGTGCTACTGGCGAAGACTATGAGTAATATGGTTGTAGTCCTACGCAGTTAAAAATCAAATGCATCGTAAATTATTAACCTTATCGGTCTTGTCTCTTCATTGGTGTTCAAGGACAGAATGATGCCCAGCAATCTCCTAAATTACGCGTAAATCAACTAGTATCCTGAACTCAAAGCAAATTGATCATTTACTTTCCTATCCGACGGCTCCTCCGCGCTTGAGACGAATGGCTCCAACTTCCGATGTGTTTGTTCTTTCCCGGTGTACTGTCGCTCCAAATTTCTGAGGTTGGATCGGATTAGCATTGGGCCACATTGCGTTAGTACCTCTAAGAAGGTGGATTTAATTTTGAATTGTGGTTCGTGGGAGGCTCTATGTTTCGTGAAACGCAGTCTGTTATTATTTCTGCACAGGCTTCGGATTTGTGCAAGTGGCAATTTTGGAAGCCATGGGAGATTATGTGGGTATCCATTCTCAAACTTGGCTCCAAAACATGAAATGTAACTGCGCTCTTTCTTGAGTCTTATAAACCGTATCAGTGAGTCTTACGTTTGCTAAAATACTGGCTAATTAACCTGATGAACCAGTGGTTTACCAGCCTAAATCTGGTCACACGGAACCAGGTAAAATATCTACAAGGCTTGGGAATCTCGTTATCATCATTATTGAGGGCAATATATCGGCCATACATACTGTTGCTAGACTGCAAGACAACTATCTGGGAATAATATTTTAGAAAAGAGTATAAAGAAAAAAGGGGCGGAGTCTTACTGCAGAAAAACTAAGGGGAGCAATCACGTGCAGGGAGAACCATGTGGATAAAAACCCGTAGCGGCTTTCATTTATCGTTGCCATGTCATGGCCAGTCCTCGTAGAACCTTTCACTAAAAACGGCTTGAACAAAAACAGTACTCTCTTGGGTGAAAAATGATTAGGAATGTGCGGTATACGTTCCAACCTGATAGGTCTGGTCTGCCGATCCAGGGACTCAGATTCGTTACCAAGTACCAGCTCATGCATCATTTCGTTGGGAACTTGCTTCTGCCAGTCGACCTCTGGGATGCTACAAAGACGATCAGAATATTGAAGACGGATGGAGTCGTCGGGTAAGCCATCTCTCACATCCATGAAGGAAGGCAGCTCTCACAGATGCCTTGTAGACAGTGTCCTTTTGCATTGGTGAAATTTGCTTCTGATGCCATATGTGACGCAATTTAGCGAACGGTGCCCGTGTATATGGTATGCACTAATAATGACTTCTGTTGATATGACTAGTAGATTGACCAGTTGATATTTGGTGCAGATTGATCAGTGATGAAGCAAGAGGGTTAGCGAAGAGATTCAAACGAGGGTACAAACCAACTTTGTCCAATCTCAGTCAGTGTCGGGAAATTTGCAGTAGGGAAGTTGTATGTAACACTGAACGTTGCGTGTTGTGTGGACTTCAGATTCTCCAGTTCATTTTGCCTTTATATCCTTTATAATATAACAGCTCCCGATTAGGCTTTCGATTAGGCAGCATCTTACTTTGGCTCAAGCATTAATATTTCTAACAAGTTTGACTCATGTAGGCATGCACCAAGGATCGAAAATAAAACTATCCAAATGTTTGACATTATGCGCTGCAAGAATTTCTGCCAAACTGGTAGAGCAACGTTCACAGACCTGATAAATGACACTGGATTAAATTCATGAATTACAAAATCTAGGAGCAAATTTGGTTGCCTCTGGATCACTTATAAGCTGTAAATAAACGCCAAGACTGTAGTGTATCGGGCTGTTGTGCTGAATTTAACAAAGCAGAGCAAATGACTTGCTTGAATCACTGACTGCTTTCGCTTGAACTGTCTACAGAAAGTCTTCTGTGTGTAAAAACAGGCAAAATGCACCAGCTAGTTTTCAACAAATTCGTTAGCTAGGGAAGGGTCCTCATTAAAAAAACTACTCGAAATTTTGGTCCACAAAAATTGTACAGCATAAGAAAATTTCCGGAAGTCGAAATGTTCCGAAGCGAATTATATAGACATTTGCTATCGTTATTTCAAGACGAAAACATTTTCTCAGACATACCAGCACTAGGTAAACACCGTCCTCTCCAAAGTCTGTTGGAGGGAGAAAATACAAACTGTGGTGATCGATTTGAAGAAGGATTAGTAAACAATGGGCAGACCTACATCTGGTTAACGTTTCGTTTCTAAGATGAGAGCATCTGAAACATCCCAAACGTGGCTAATACCAAATGAACGTTCCGGAAATGGGACACTTCTTGCACTTGTATAGATGATATACCACCTTCTAGATGGAATCAGGCAGTTGTTTACGAAATCAGATTCAAAGATCTTTATAAGGAATAAACAGGACGACGAGTCAGGGCACTTCGCACTTATACCAGTGAGGAAAATATGAGTATGCAGGTCACCAAATCTATCGGGCACGCACTATTTAGGGGTCGGTACCAAGCCTGCCCTTTGAGTTAGATGTCTAATGTCGGGACTTCGGTGGGGCATGTGAAGTGTACACTTGATGGGCGTTAATGGGATTGTTTTCCGCTTTGATGAAGATTATCCTGATTAATGAATAGGATGTATAAGAAGGGTCGCGCAAATGAGAATTATGTAGACGCCGTACTTACCTCTTCACTCTAGCCGTTCCTTTTCTTCAATAGTTACATCACTGCCCCTCTTGTGTGAGCTCCCTGTGAATAGTAGACTGAGATTTATCAACTGAACATGAGGTTAGTCGAGAAACGCAAAAACAGTGTAACGGTCATAATTATGGATTTCAAAACAGCTGCTGCATATAAACTGCAAAAATGAAATCCGAAGCATGAGCATTTGTAAGACGAAGCATCATTTCATAGTTCCGGAGGTTTGGCACGTTTGTGGCACTTTTGCGGACAGCACGACTGTGTTTACATAAAATATGTGAGGGTCAGCGAATTCAAACTTGAAGGAGTTCATCTTAGAAGACTACGTCCGTGCAACTTCATCAACAAGATGTTCGTTATCGATTACTACTACACCCTTCAAGTCTCAGATTATTTGAGAATCTCATCTGACGAACAGAAACTTACCGTATTTACTCAAGTATGTGTGAATAATTTGTTACTTTTGTTTTACTTGGCCTGTCTCAAGGTCAGAATCGATAGTGTGTATGATGCGCATCATTTGATTTACAAAGGAGCATTGTCACATGGATGAGGCATAAAGCATACCACGATTGGATTTAACAAGCATCTGAAATAGTGAGTTTAACAGGCAGCAACAAGCAGGATATTTTGTCCAAATAAAGCGTCGCAATTTCGCTCATTGCGATTGGTTTCACTTGTTAGATTGTTATTTAGCAATGGGTAAAACAATTGCGGGCGATAAAGGCAGACCAGAGATATGTGCGAAGGTGTAAATTTGTCATTAATCTTTTATCCTGCAAATGTGTGAATGGTTTAGATTCACTTTCAAACAGGTTATATAGCGAAAACAAGAGTATGCTTATTACCTTTTTGCTCTCGGAGGGAAGTACAACTAGAACTCCCTCATTTGATTGCATCATTCACGGCTTGTGGCATACATGCGAGGCAACTCGTGGTGTTACACCAGTGGTCTTGAGGCACGCAGTAGTATGTTCAACATTTCCGTCAATTCATATTTATTGGGATAGATAGACGGACAGATGGAATAATAGATAGAAAATTGGATCAATATATATTTAAACAAGCAGATTATTTAGCTCTTTGATTATTTCCTTATCTGATTTGATTGTTGGTTTAGCTTGCTCGTTTGGTTGATCTTTTTGTTTGTCTTTTGGCAGTTCGGTTTGTTATTTGGTTGGTTTAAATTCACAACACTCAGAATAGCAAATTATGAGACGCTACCAAATTTAGTATCAGGTATGGAAGCCGTCGTTCACCATGCAATCACTAACTGATGATCACTGCATGTTCTGACCCCGTTAGTTCATTAAATGTTAATCCCCGAGTGCTCCTCGCACCAAAAAAATCCCTTGAGATATGACTGTAGAATTGCTCTTTGGTAGCACCAGCCAAGTCAGTACATTTTTCAACTTTGCTAGGAGGATGATCGAGCACATTGTTTTCATTCGTCAAAGCAGCAAAAAAGAAAGCTACCTAACGCCGTATTTTTAATGTTTTGCCACGATGTGTTTTACAAGTGGCGAATTTACTTTGGAGGGCAAAAAGAGAACGTGTGTGGTGGTGTGGAACAAAACAGCCAACTGGGTCTGTTGATATACTCCTGATTCGAGGCTCGTTATTCAGCAGTATGATTTGTCTAGTTTGGAAGGTTTGTATAAAGCCATCAGTGAAGTAGCCAAATAAACAAAATGTTCTTATATGTGCCGAAATCCTCTGGAGAGTATGCAACCCACATGAATGCTAATACCGATGGTTTACGACACATGCTTTTCCTGGTCAACGATGGAATCCGGAACATCTCAAAAGCCACATTGCTAGGTACCCCTTTTAATGGCTGTACGTCTTATTTGCTGCCTTTACTCTGCAAGTTTCCTTCTTACCAGAATAAAGCAGTGAGCCTTGGTGGTGGTTTAGTCATCTCTCTATGAATTTAGCAGAAGAAACAGAAAAACCATCATCTTCTCAGTGCTATTACTTAATTTAATAAGCTGGGCCTATAAGGTTTGGTTCACTTGTGTGTAGAATTCTGCCAATCTGTTTTTTTTAAAACTCCCAAAATCTGTTTTTTTTATTCATTTCGGGCTAATCATGCAATTCACTAATCAAAGTAAATTGTGTAACAGTCGAGCACAGAACGAGCTGACCTTTTATAAACTCAGTCGAAATGAGCTCTTGGGGCGTTTCTTACTTGCTCTTCTATATAAAATCTAATCATATTGAACTTGCAAGATGACAAGAAATAAACAACAAAGGTAGATTAAAGTGCTCTTGTTATTATTGATGTAACTGATAGTGAGAATATTAACTGGTCCTTGGTTGGCGGTTAGATGAGATGATTGTATGTCCTTAATTGGACTAACCGAAATTCAAACGTGCCTCTTGATAGAGTTAAACTATGCATAGGTTGCCGGAAGTGGTAAACCGGGTATGAAAAGATTTGATCACCATCTGTGAGCTACTTGCACTTGAGCATAGTCCCGCCTGCGAGTTTAAGCCGGACAACCTCCACTCTATTGGATGGAAGATTCCGTATCGTCGTAAACTTATGGAATACTGATAGCAGTTCTTCATCATAAACCACCGCGATTGTGGAAGAAACGGCGCGAGTGAAAGTTAGCTGTTCCTAATGAAACAACTGCTCAAGTATACCCGAAATGGCACATTCGATGTGATATACTGATATGCTCAGTAAGTGAACTTCCTAGTTCATCATCGTATACTTATCCTTAAGTTTGATCAACTTCTCCTCTTTTAAAAGATGAATTTCGTTGTCGAACAGGTTCTTTGTTTCCACAGGGAGACTGCCCTGCACATCATATACTAAGCATTCGACCCTTCTGGACCTCTTTGACAATGAGTAGGTAAGACAAGGGTGACAAGCGATTGTTTGGTGGAAATCCGTCCACTTTAGATTTGAGATTTTCGATTCGGCCGTAAATTCTCATGTTAGAAAAAACGTGTGATGCTATTATTCACGTCTGATGTCGATAGTTGCTATGATACACAAGAACTGGATCTCTATGGTAAAGAGTCCGCTGTTTTCACATGAAAAACGGAGCAGCTGCATGAAATAAAAGTCTTTATAGGATCGATTTCTAGCGGCAGCATAAAGTGAGTGGCATATATTTTTTAAAGTTGTCGCAGTTTTGCACCACTTGAGGAAAAAAACAACCGGAACTAAATATCCGCCACCCAATGAGAAAAAAAAAACCGAACTAAGTATCCGCCACCCAAAATGAAGACTCTTGTAGTGTCAATATGGCAGGCCAGTACATTTTAAGAGCCGTGAGATCTGATGGCAAAACAATCAACAAAGCTTCGTTTAGAAAAAATAATGCTAGTAATAAACTTTATTTAATTTACTAGATGATTTGGCACCTTTTACTGCATACATAAGGAAATCAGTAAAATTCCTAACATTGGATCTTGTTTCTGTTACTAGAAGGTATCTTCATTTCATTAAGTTTCCTGCAACTTCAGTTTTTAATATACTAGCCGAAGTGGCCGCAAGTAAACTTTCATGATAAGCCTATCGTAGTTTTCCAAGAGAACGAGCCCCTACGCCTAAAACTGTCGACAAACTTCCTTATGTTATGCACAGCTAATTTCCCCATGAATTGAACAATGCGTAAATCTCATCTTCAGTTGAAATTCAAGTACGCGATGGAAAATATTTTGTCCAATTTATTTATCTCTCCTCCAGAAGCAAAATGCTTAGAGTGAGCTTCCTCCAAAATTAAAAGCTTTTGATGATTCTGACTTTCATATTGATGCATCAGAGACTGAACTGAGTTTGAGTTCGGGCTTCTTTCACAAAGAGCAGATCTGTGAGTCTATTCTGAGTAGACATTTACCTCGATGTCCTGTTTCCTGAAAGTCAAACCGGAAAAGTACTGTGTCTTATTTCAGTGACCTTTGGTCTGACCTTAATGAGCCATTTTTAGTTTAAAACTCTGTCCTTTAAAGATATCCATTTTAATTGACCATTGAGGCTTCTATATAAGTGGTAACTCTGAAAAATATAAGTATTGTTACTATACACATTCACATTCAACTTTAACTTCTACACGTAAACAGATTGGAGCAGACGTTCCGAGGTCATACGACCTTCCTTCTTTCCTTCCTTCAATTCACCACAACTAAAAGAGTACTATGCACGTTCTTGTTTGACTTTAACGATTAAATGATGGCTTTTGAGTTGGGGGATTTCGTTTAAAATTCACTGTATACCACAGCACCGATATGATATTTATCCTCTTCCAGTTAATTCAGTACAAACAAGCATAACTTGTGCTACCCGAAAACGCCTAAATTCGAAGAAACAGGGACTGTTATGTAAGATGTAAAATATTCGTTTCTCTGATTCCGACAGGAAATTTTCACACTCTGGATAACCGCATAATCGGTAAGCTCAAAATCTACCACAGAATAGTGAAAAAAGCGTCAATAGGTTACACGCTCTGCTTGACTGCAACAATACAGAGAAAGGTTGGAAAATCGATGCTGTTCAAAAGACACATGATTTGCGTTTTGCGTCCTAAATAGTTTGTATGCAAGATAATTAATCATACTGTTTTTGGCTTTAAGTTAAAAGATCAAATAAATTGACACCCACAATACTAAGTTGACCATAATTAAAAGCTGCTTAGCACTGGAATTGTTAAAGAGCTGTTGGAATAACTTAAGGGGTTACGGTATTAGGTGTACCCTGTGTACCGATTGCAAATAGCCCCAAACGAGGCTCAGACTTCGTTGCAGCAATATTCTTATTTAACTGCACTTTCGGTGCTATATTCATGTATTCATCAAAAGGGCACCGGCAGAGGATCACCCTACTGTTCACATCATATTGACTTGGGTACTTCCACTGATTTTATCTACTTCCAAGAAGATTCCGAATTGACGGGTTACGTCGAAATGTTGTACTTTAGCGCAGTACCTTTGTCAGTCCCCATTTAGTGGGAAATTTTGTGCTGGAAGGCACTTGCAAATTACGACCTTTTCACTAATGCAACTTATTTCCGAGAAATACACTCATTTGCAAATCAGTTTGGTTTTCTTAAGAGACTCAGTTGAGTCTCTCGTTTATGAGATTCAAGTAGAACGTAAGATTGACGGAAACTCAGGGACTGCGCCTGTCCGATGAGCCGCAAGAAAGGCGAAACCGGTCATGGGCTGTCGAAGGGTTTTCAGCAACCTTGGGAGAAGTATCCTTCATGAAAATACAACTTATTATTTTTTATTCATTCGATAGTAGTGTACTAATTAACAAAGAAAATGTACGCATCTTCAGTATCGTTGGTGGTCGCAAATGTGTGAGCTTGCGAAATACACATTTTGCAAGTTAAATTGGGGTTAACAGGCGACCCAACCAAATCTATCGTTGATGAATTTCTTCAACAGAATGCGCTTCACAAAGTACGGTTCACGCATCAG